TCTCCCCATGTCTCCCCATGTATCTCTCCTCTCCCTGTGTCTCTCTCACCACCCCGTGTATCTCTGCGTCTCTCTCTTCTCCCGATGCCTCTCTTCCTTCCCGTGTATCCCCGTGTCTCCCGCCTCTCCGCGGGTATCCCCGTCTCTCTCTCCTCCTCCTCCTGTCTCTCTCCCCTCCCCGGGTCTTCCTACCTCTCTCTCCCCTCCACGTTTCTTTCTCCTCTCCTCTCGTGTCTCCCCGTGTCTCTCTCCCCCTCCCGTGTCTCCTCGTGTCTCTCTACCCTCCCCATGTGCCACCGTGTCTCCAACTCCTCCCCGTGTCTCTCTGTCTCTCTCTCCCATGCCTATGGCTTCCTTCCTCCCCGTGTCTCCCTGCATCTCTCTCGCCTCCCCTGATCTCCCCGTGTCTCTCGTCCCTCCCCGTGTCTCTCGCACTCTCGGTGTCTCCCCGTGTTTCTCTCCCCTCCTCGTGTCTCTCTCTTCTCCTCGTGTCTCCATGTCTCTCTCTCCCCGTGTCTCCCTTTGCTCCGCCACTCTCTGTTGTCTGTAAGCTCTCCACTTCCTTACTTTGGTGTAAAATCTACTTGTGTCTCTACCCGTGCCTCTCTCCACGTCTCTCTCCGTATCGCTCTCCACGTCTCTCTCTGTAACCCTCTCAAGAGTCTCTTGCGGTGTCTCTCTCCCCGTCTCCCTGTGCGTCTCTCTCCCCGTGTCTCTCCCCGTGTCTCTCCCCGTGTCTCTCCCCGTGTCTCTCCCCGTGTCTCTCCCCGTGTCTCTCCCCGTGTCTCTCCCCGTGTCTCTCCCCGTGTCTCTCCCCGTGTCTCTCCCCGTGTCTCTCCCCGTGTCTCTCCCGTGTCTCTCCCCGTGTCTCTCCCCGTGTCTCTCCCCGTGTCTCTCCCCGTGTCTCTCCCCGTGTCTCTCCCCGTGTCTCTCCCCGTGTCTCTCCCCGTCTCTCTCCCGTCTCTCTCCCCGTCTCTCTCCCCGTCTCTCCCCTCTCTCCCCGTGTCTCTCCCCGTGTCTCTCCCCGTGTCTCTCCCCGTCTCTCTCCCCGTCTCTCTCCCCGTGTCTCTCCCGTGTCTCTCCCCGTGTCTCTCCCCGTGTCTCTCCCCGTCTCTCTCCCCGCGTCTCTCCCCGTCTCTCTCCCCGTGTCTCTCCCCGTCTCTCTCCCCGTGTCTCTCCCTGTGTCTCTCCACAACTTCCCCCGAGCACAAGGTGGGGCCGGAAGCGGATGAGTCCGGGTCCACGTTCCCGGGGTCAACGTTCCCGGGGTCAACGTTCCCGGGTCAACGTTCCCGGTTTCCGCGTTCCCGGGGTCAACGTTCCCGGGGTCAACGTTCCCGGGGTCAACGTTCCCGGGGTCAACGTTCCCGGGTCAACGTTCCCGGGGTCAACGTTCCCGGGTCAACGTTCCCGGGATCAACGTTCCCGGTTTCCGCGTTCCCGGGATCAACGTTCCCGGTTTCCCGCTTCCCGGTTTCCGCGTTCCCGGGGTCAACGTTCCCGTGATCAACGTTCCCGTTTCCGCGTTCCCGGGGTCAACGTTCCCGGTTTCCGCGTTCCCGGTTTCCACGTTCCCGGTTTCCGCGTTCCCGGGGTCAACGTTCCCGGGGTCAACGTTCCCGGGGTCAACGTTCCCGGGGTCAACGTTCCCGGGATCAACGTTCCCGGGATCAACGTTCCCGGTGTCCGCGTTCCCGGGATCAACGTTCCCGGTGTCCGCGTTCCCGGGATGAACGTTCCCGGGATGAACGTTCCCGGGATGAACGTTCCCGGGATGAACGTTCCCGGGTCAACGTTCCCGGGGTCAACGTTCCCGGGGTCAACGTTCCCGGGGTCAACGTTCCCGGGGTCAACGTTCCCGGGGTCAACGTTCCCGGGGTCAACGTTCCCGGGGTCAACGTTCCCGGGGTCAACGTTCCCGGCGTCAACGTTCCCGGCGTCAACGTTCCCGGGGTCAACTTTCCCGGTGTCCGCGTTCCCGGTTTCCGCGTTCCCGGTTTCCGCGTTCCCGGTTTCCGCGTTCCCGGTTCCTCCGCATTCCCGGTTTCCGCATTCCCGGGATCAACGTTCCCGGTGTTCACGTTCCCGGGATCAACGTTCCCGGAGTCAGCGTTCCCGGTGTCCACGTTCCCGGGTTCAACGTTCCCGGGTTCAACGTTCCCGGGTTCAACGTTCCCGGTGTTCACGTTCCCGGGATCAACGTTTCCAGGGGGAACGTTCTTCGGTAGCCCTGCAGGAAACACGTGCGCACAACCACAGAGTTGACCGCTTGCTGCAAAGGTTCGCGATTCAAATCTGGTGGGCATCTCACTCACCCACCCACCCCTACTCGCCATCTCTCTCACTCACAATCTCACCAACTCGCTCACAGACTCACTCACTCACCCACCCACTCATTATCCCACCCCACCCATTAACCATCTCATCCACTCACCCTTTCAGCCACTCACCCCCCCTCTTGCAAAATGAGACTCCTAGCCTGGACTCTTGAGTTCTCACTCTGGTTCAACACAATATCAACCTGAACCTTCAACTCCCTCACCCACTACAGCACACACCCACTCCCTCACCATCCCCACCCACCATCTCACCCCACCCACCCACCCACTCACCATCCCCACCCACCATCTCACCCCACCCACTCACCATCCCCACCCACCATCTCACCCTACCCACCCACCATCCCCCACCACCATCTCACCCCACCCACCCACTCGCTCACCATCCCCACCCACCATCTCACCCCACCCACTCGCTCACTCACCATCCCCACCCACCATCTCACCCCACCCACTCGCTCACCCACCCACTCGCTCACCCACCCACCCGCCCCACCCACCTCACCCACCCACCACCCACCCACCCACCCACCCCCACCCACCCACCCACCCACCACCCACCCACCCACCCACTCACCCACCCCACCCACCTCACCCACCCACCCACCCACTCACCCACCCACCCACTCACCCACCCACCCACTCACCACCCACCCACCCACCCACCCACACACCCACCCACACACCCACTCACTCACCCACCCACCATACCCACTCACCATCCCCACTCACCATCTCACCCACCCACCCACCCACTCACTCCCCACCCACCCACCCACCCACTCACCATCCCCACTCACCATCTCACCCCACCCACTCACCATCCCCACTCACCATCTCACCCACCCACCCACCCACTCGCTCACTATCCCCACCCACCATCTCACCCACCCCCCACCCACTCGCTCACCATCCCCACCCCCATCTCACCACCCACCCACCCATCGCTCACCATCCCCACCCACCATCTCACCCCACCCACCCACCCACTCACCATCCCCACCCACCATCTCACCCCACCCACTCACCATCCCCACCCACCATCTCACCCTACCCACCCACCATCCCCACCCACCATCTCACCCCACCCACCCACTCGCTCACCATCCCCACCCACCATCTCACCCCACCCACCCACCCACTCACCATCCCCACCCACCATCTCACCCCACCCACTCGCTCACTCACCATCCCCACCCACCATCTCACCCCACCCACCCACTCGCTCACCATCCCCACCCACCATCTCACCCCACCCACCCCCCCCTCACCGTCACCCCCACCCACTCGCTCACTCACCCTCCCCACCCAACCATCTCACCACACCCACCCCACTCGCTCACCTCCCCACCCCCATCTCACTCCCACCCACCCACCCCTCACCCTACCCTCCCCACCCCACCATCTCAACCCACCCACTCGCTCACTCACCATCCCCACCCACCATCTCACCCCCACCCACCTTCGCTCACGTCACCATCCCCACCCCACCATCTCACCCCACCCACCCCACCCACCCACCCACCCCACCCACCCACCCACCCACCCACCCCCACCCACGCCACCCACTTCAACTCACCCACCCCCACTCACCACCCATCCACCCCACCCCCCCACCCACCCAACCCACCCACCCACTCACCCACCACCCACCCACTCACTCCCACCCCACCCACCCACCCACCCACCCACCCACCCACCTCACCCACCACCACCCAACACCCACTCACCCACCCACCACCCACCCACCCACCACTCACCCACCCCCACCACTACACACCCACTCACCCACCCACCCACCACTACCCACTCACACATCTCACCACCATCCCCACCCCCCACCCACTCACCCACTCACCCACCCCCACTCCACTCACCCACCCACCCCTCACTCTCACCCAACCCACTCACCCACCCACACCACCTACCCACTCACCATCTCACCCACCACCCACCCACTCACCTCACCCACCCACCCACCCACTCACCATCCCCACTCACCATCTCACCCCACCCACTCACCATCCCCACATCACCATCTCACCCACCCACCCACCCACTCGCTCACCATCCCCACACCACATCTCACCCACCCACCCACCCCACTCGCTCACCATCCCCACCCACCATCTCACCCACCCACCCACATCGCTCACCAGCCCCACCCACCATCTCACCCCACCCACCCACTCACCATCCCCACCCACCATATCACCCCACCCACTCACCATCCCCACCCACCATCTCACCCTACCCACCCACCATCCCCACCCACCATCTCACCCTCACCCACCCACTCGCTCACCATCCCCACCCACCATCTCACCCCACCCACCCACCCACTCACCATCCCCACCCACCATCTCACCCCACCCACTCGCTCACTCCCATCCCCACCCACCATCTCACCCCACCCACTCGCTCACTATATCACCATCCCCAACCCACCATCTCACCCACCCACTCACCCACCCACCCACCCACCCACTCACCCACCCACCCACTCACACCACCCACTCACCCCACACATCCCCACCACCCACCCACTCACTCACCCACCCACCCACTCACCCACCCACCCACCATACCCACTCACCATCCCCACTCACCATCTCACCCACCCACCCACCCACTCACTCACCCACCCACCCACCCACTCACCATCCCCCACTCACCATCTCACCCCACCCACTCACCATCCCACTCACCATCTCACCCACCCACCCACCCACTCGCTCACCATCCCCCACCCCCATCTCACCCACCCACCCACCCAATCGCTCACCATCCCCACCCACCATCTCACCCACCCACCCACCCACCCACTCGCTCACCATCCCCAACCACCATCTCACCCCACCCACCCACCCACGCACCATCCCCACCCACCATCTCACCCCACCCACTCACCATCCCCACCCACCATCTCACCCTACCCACCCCACCATCCCCACCCAACCTCTCACCCCACCCACCCACTCGCTCACCATCCCCACCCAACCATCTCACCCCACCCACCCACTCACCATCCCCACCCACCATCTCACCCCACCCACGTCGCTCACATCACCATCCCCACCCACCATCTCACCCCACCCACTCGCTCACATCACCATCCCCACACCCATCTCACCCCACTCACCCACCAACCCCCACACACCCCACTCCACCCACTTCACTCCCTCACCCACCCACCCCCCACCCCACACACCCACACCACCACTCACTCACTCACCCACCCACCCACTCACTCACCCACCCCACTCACCTCACTCACCCACCCACTCACTCACTCACCCACCCACCCACCCACCCACTCACCCACCCACCTCACCCACCCACTCACCCACCCACCCACGCCACCCACCCACCCACCCACCCACTCACACCCACCCACTCACCCACCACCCACCCACCCACTCACCCCACCCACCCACTCACCCACCCACTCACCCACCCACCATACCCACTCACCATCCCCACTCACCATCTCACCCACCCACCCACCCACTCACCCACCCACCCACCCACTCACCATCCCCACTCACCATCTCACCCCACCCACGTCACCATCCCCACTCACCATCTCACCCACCCACCCACCCACTCGCTCACCCATCCCCACCCACCATCTCACCCACCCACCCACCCACTCGCTCACCATCTCACCCACCCACCCACTCGCTCACCATCCCCACCCACCATCTCACCCCACCCACCCACCCACTCACCATCCCCACCCACCATCTCACCCCACCCACTCACCATCCCCACCCACCATCTCACCCTACCCACCCACCATCCCCACCCACCATCTCACCCCACCCACCCACTCGCTCACCATCCCCACCCACCATCTCACCCCACCCACCCACCCACTCACCATCCCCACCCACCATCTCACCCCACCCACTCGCTCACATCACCATCCCCACCCACCATCTCACCCCACCCACTCGCTCACTCACCATCCCCACCCACCATCTCACCCCACCCACTCACTCACCCACCCACTCACCCACCCACCCACCCACCCACCCACCCACTCACCCACCCACTCACCCACCCACCCACTCACTCACTCACCCACCCACTCACTCACCCACCCACTCACTCACTCACTCACCCACCCACTCACCACCCACCCACCATACCCACTCACCATCTCACCCACCCACCCACCCACTCACTCACCCACCCACCCACCCACTCACCATCCCCACTCACCATCTCACCCCACCCACTCACCATCCCCACTCACCATCTCACCCACCCACCCACTCGCTCACCATCCCCACCCACCATCTCACCCACCCACCCACCCACTCGCTCACCATCCCCACCCACCATCTCACCCACCCACCCACTCACCATCCCCACTCACCATCTCACCCCACCCACTCACCCCACCCACCCACCCACCATCCCACCCACCCACTCGCTCTCACCCATCCCCACCCACCATCTCACACCCACCCACCCACTCACCATCCCCACTCACCATCTCACCCACCCACTCACCATCTCACCCCACCCACTCACCATCCCCACTCACCAATCTCACCCCACACCACCCACCCACTCACCATCTCACCCCACTCACTCGCTCACCATCCCCACCCACCATCTCACCCCCACCCACCCACTCGCTCACCATCCCCACCCACCATCTCACCCCCCCACCCACCCACCTCGCTCACCATCCCCACCCACCATCTCACCCCACCCACCCACTCGCTCACCATCCCCCACCCACCATCTCACCCCCACCCACCCACTCGCTCACCATCCCCACCCACCATCTCACCCACCCACCCACTCGCTCACCATCCCCCCCACCATCTCACCATCCCCACCCACCATCTCACCTGCATCGATCCGGCTCCTCTTCATCCTCCTCCATGATGCTCGCGACCCCCTTGTGCCCCCGTAGACCCTTGTGCCCCCGTAGACCCTTGTGCCCCCCGCGGGTCCGGGTTCCCCTTTGGGCCACCGCTCCCCGCCTCTCCCTCCCGGTGGTCTCGGCACCCCCGTGCCCCCCACCCCGAGGAGGGCGAGGGAAGGGGCCGCAGGAGGGAGGGAGACAGCCCCACATCCTCCAGCAGCTCCTCGCACGCATCCACCCTGCACGGAGGGGGTCACGGGGGGTCACGGGGGTCACGGGGAAGACACGGGGGGGAGACACGCGGGGAGACACGGGGGGAGACACGGGGGGGAGACACGGGGGGAGACACGGGGGGGAGACACGGGGGGGAGACACGGGGGGAGACACGGGGGGACACGGGGGGGAGACACGGGGGGAGACACGGGGGGAGACACGGGGGGGAGACACGGGGGGGAGACACGGGGGGGAGAACACGGGGGGGAGACACGGGGGGGAGACACGGGGGGGAGACACGGGGGGGAGACACGGGGGGGAGACACGGGGGGGAGACACGGGGGGGAGACACGGGGGGGAGACACGGGGGGGGGACACGGGGGGAGACACGGGGGGGGACACGGTGGGGGACACGGGGGGGACACGGGGGGGGACACGGGGGGAGACACGGGGGGGAGACACGGGGGGGGGACACGGGGGGGGGACACGGGGGGGGGACACGGGGGGGGGGACACACGGGGGGGGGACACACGGGGGACACACCCTTGCACCACCCCTGCCAACTTCAACATGCGGCAAGGGGGTGAAGGGAGGGCAAAGTGGTTGAGAGGACGGGTTGAAGAGGGTGGGGTGGGGTGAAGAGGGTGGGGTGGGGTGAGGAGGGAGAGGGGTGGGGTTGAGGAGGGTGGGGAGAGGGTCTCACCTGACCCCGTGTGTGGCGTCTGACATCACCCAGAGCCTCATGCGCAACTTGTGGGCAAAGCGGTGGTCCTGACGGAGAGAAAGGCGCACGAGGGGGTGGGTGGCCAGCACCACGCCCGGCCGCTTTTGTCTCCCCAGTGGCGATGTTTACTACGCACCGCACCGGGTACTCATTTGAGGCCGAGTCGATCTAGGGGAGGCCCAAGACTGGTTCAGAAAATCGTCACTGGTATTGGCCGTGAGTTGAACTCGGGTCGCTGGGTTCATAGCGCAGCGACCGCGACACGACACACGCACACTGGGGACGACGAGTGAAGAGGTGAGGGTGAGGAAGCGAGGGTGAGGTGAGGGTGACGAGGTGAGGGTGAGGAGGGTGACGAGGTGAGGGTGACGAGGTGAGGGTGAGGAGGGTGACGAGGTGAGGGTGAGGTGAGGGTGACGAGGTGAGGTGAGGAGGGTGAGGAGGGTGAGGTGGGTGAGGTGAGGGTGACGAGGTGAGGGTGACGAGGTGAGGGTGAGGAGGGTGACGAGGTGAGGGTGAGGAGGGTGACGAGGTGAGGGTGAGGTGAGGGTGACGAGGTGAGGGTGAGGAGGTGAGGGTGAGGAGGTGAGGGGGAGGAGGTGAGGGTGACGAGGTGAGGGTGAGGAGGTGAGGGTGACGAGGTGAGGTGACGAGGTGAGGGTGAGGAGGTGAGGGTGACGAGGTGAGGGTGACGAGGTGAGGGTGACGAGGTGAGGGTGACGAGGGTGAGGCTCTCACCTCCTTCTGCTTCGTCTCTTGCAGCTTCTGGTTGAGGTGGTGGAGCTGCTCGTGTGGCGAGAGCGAGTCCACCCACGCCAACCACACCCCCCTCGTCACCCTCCACCTCGTCACCCCTCACCTCCTCACCCTCCACCTCACCCACCCTAGCCTCCTCCTCACCCTCCACCTCACCAACCCTAGCCTCCTCCTCACCCCTCACCTCACCCACCCTAGCCTCCCTCCTCACCCTCCACCTCACCCACCCTAGCCACCTCCTCACCCCTCACCTCACCCACCCTAGCCACCACCTCTTCACCCCTCACCTCACCCACCCTAGCCTCCTCCTCACCCTCCACCTCACCCACCCTAGCCTCCTCCTCACCCTCCACCTCACCCACCCTAGCCACCTCCTCACCCCTCACCTCACTCACCCTAGCCTCCTCCTCACCCTCCACCTCACCCACCCTAGCCACCTCCTCCTCACCCTCCACCTCACCCACCCTAGCCACCTCCTCACCCTCCCTAGCCACCACCTCCTCACCCCTCACCTCACCCACCCTAGCCACCTCCTCCTCACCCTCCACCTCACCCACCCTAGCCACCTCCTCACCCTCCCTAGCCACCACCTCCTCACCCTCCACCTCACTCACCCTAGCCACCACCTCCTCACCCCTCACCTCAACCCACCCTAGCCACCACCTCCTCACCCTCCACCTCACCCACCCTAGCCACCTCCTCACCCTCCCTAGCCACCACCTCCTCACCCTCCACCTCACTCACCCTAGCCACCACCTCCTCACCCCTCACCTCACCCACCCTAGCCACCACCTCCTCACCCTCCACCTCACCCACCCTAGCCACCTCCTCACCCCTCACCTCACCCACCCTAGCCACCTCCTCACCCCTCACCTCACTCACCCTAGCCACCTCCTCACCCCTCACCTCACCCACCCTAGCCACCTCCTCACCCTCCACCTCACCCACCCTAGCCACCTCCTCACCCTCCCTAGCCACCACCTCCTCACCCCTCACCTCACTCACCCTAGCCACCTCCTCACCCCTCACCTCACTCACCCTAGCCTCCTCCTCACCCTCCACCTCACCCACCCTAGCCACCTCCTCACCCTCCACCTCACCCACCCTAGCCACCTCCTCACCCTCCACCTCACCCACCCTAGCCACCTCCTCACCCCTCACCTCACTCACCCTAGCCACCTCCTCACCCTCCACCTCACTCACCCTAGCCACCTCCTCACCCTCCACCTCACCCACCCTAGCCACCTCCTCACCCTCCACCTCACCCACCCTAGCCACCTCCTCACCCCCCACCTCACCCACCCTAGCCACCTCCTCACCCCTCACCTCACTCACCCTAGCCACCTCCTCACCCCTCACCTCACCCACCCTAGCCACCTCCTCCTCACCCTCCACCTCACCCACCCTAGCCACCTCCTCCCCCTCCCTAGCCGCCCCCTCCTCACCCCTCACCTCACTCACCCTAGCCACCTCCTCACCCCTCACCTCACTCACCCTAGCCTCCTCCTCACCCTCCTCCTCACCCACCCTAGCCACCTCCTCCTCACCCTCCACCTCACCCACCCTAGCCACCTCCTCACCCTCCCTAGCCACCCCCTCCTCACCCCTCACCTCACTCACCTTAGCCACCTCCTCACCCCTCACCTCACTCACCCTAGCCTCCTCCTCACCCTCCACCTCACCCACCCTAGCCACCTCCTCACCCTCCACCTCACCCACCCTAGCCACCTCCTCACCCTCCCTAGCCACCACCTCCTCACCCCTCACCTCACTCACCCTAGCCACCTCCTCACCCCTCACCTCACTCACCCTAGCCACCTCCTCACCCCTCACCTCACTCACCCTAGCCACCTCCTCACCCCTCACCTCACTCACCCTAGCCACCCCCCTCCTCACCCACCCTAGCCACCTCCTCCTCAACCTCCACCTCACCCACCCTAGCCACCACCTCCTCACCCCTCACCTCACTCACCCTAGCCACCCCCACCTCACTCACCCTAGCCACCCCCACCTCACTCACCCTAGCCACCCCCACCTCACCCCTCACCTCACTCACCCTAGCCACCCCCACCTCACCCCTCACCTCACTCACCCTAGCCACCACCTCCTCACCCTCCACCTCACCCACCCTAGCCACCTCCTCACCCCTCACCTCACTCACCCTAGCCACCTCCTCACCCCTCACCTCACCCACCCTAGCCACCTCCTCACCCCTCACCTCACCCACCCTAGCCACCTCCTCACCCCTCACCTCACTCACCCTAGCCACCCCCTCCTCACCCACCCTAGCCACCTCCTCCTCAACCTCCACCTCACCCACCCTAGCCACCTCCTCCTCACCCACCCTAGCCACCACCCTCCTCACCCCTCACCTCACTCACCCTAGCCACCCCCACCTCACCCCTCACCTCACTCACCCTAGCCACCCCCACCTCACCCACCCTAGCCACCTCCTCCTCACCCTCCACCTCACCCACCCTAGCCACCTCCACCCTCCACCTCACCACCTAGCCACCCCTCCTCACCCTCACCTCACTCACCCTAGCCACCTCCTCACCCCTCACCTCACTCAGCCTAGCCACCTCCTCACCCCTCACCTCAACCCACCCTAGCCACCACCACCTCACCCTCCACCTCACCCACCCTAGCCACCTCCTCCTCACCCCCCACCACCTCACCTCCCTCATCCTCATCCTCCACCTCAAGGCTGGTGGGGTCAGGGCCAGTGGGGTCAGGGTCGGTGGGGTCAGGGCCAGTGGGGTCAGGGTCGGTGGGGTCGGGGTCGGCAGATTCGGGGTCGGTGGGGTCAGGGCCAGTGGGGTCAGGGTCGGTGGGTTCGGGGTCGGTGGGGTCAGCGTCGGTGGGGTCAGCGTCGGTGGGGTCAGGGTCGGTGGGGTCAGGGTCGGTGGGGTCAGGGTCGACGGGATCGGGGTCGGTGGGGTCAGGGTCGGTGGGGTCAGGGTCAGCGGGATCGGGGTCGGTGGGGTCAGGGTCGGTGGGGTCAGGGTCGGCGGGTTCGGGGTCAGGGCCGGCGGGGTCAGGGCCGGTGGGGTCAGGGTCAGCGGGATCGGGGTCGGTGGGGTCAGGGTCGGTGGGGTCAGGGTCGGTGGGGTCAGGGTCGGCGGGTTCGGGGTCAGGGCCGGTGGGGTCACGGTGCATGGTTGATCCCTCTCCCACTCCGTCTTTCGAGTTCTCCATTATCTGCACCCACACAAAGACAAAGGTCCCCCATGTAGGCCCAGGCCTGCCCGTGTAAAGTTGTGAACATAGAGTCAGGGAGCCCAAAAGGATGAAGTACAACCCAGAGCCCTGGCCTGTTGATGGATATTATAGGCCTCGACCAGGTCCATAAAGCAGAGATGTAGGTTCTGTTGGGATTCGCTTCGTAAGTACGTTCGCATGATGAACTTCTTTCGCACCCTATGTAGCCAACCGCGCTAATCGGAGGTGCGGGAGGAACGACAACAAATGAAACACAAAAAGCAGTTCTAAAGAAATTAGTTTTCAACCTAGAGTGGTTCCCAAACCGGGGGTACATTAGATGATTCATAAATGTTTGAAAATATATCATACATGAGAGTCATTGGTGAAGTCACTGTATGAATCCGACAATATAAAATAACTACAATAAATGTTAATCCATATGATATAACCGAGAACGATATGAAAGACATTTCTAAACTCACTGACCGTGAACAATGTGGTTTCAAAGAGTAACCAGCGAGCGTAAACAAAGTTACTGTCACACATAGTGGAGCGTCCACTGGTTTGTTTTATTAAGCGAGCAGGGAACGCGCTGAAGCCTCGGTTGTGTAATGTGAAGAGTTTTGTAATAAAAGTGACGACGGAAAAAGAAGTTGAGCACTACACAAGTAAACATTTGTAGCAGTGTCTCTACAGATCACTGGACTACAGTAAAACCTTGGATTGCGAGTAACTTGGTCTGCGAGTGTTTTGCAAGACGAGCAAAAATCTGAAATAAACATGAATTTGATAAACGAGCGATGTCTTGCAATACGAGTACGGTAGTACGTACAGTATACGCTTTGTCTGCCGATCGTCACGTGATCACAACTGAGCCAATAGTTCTTCTCTCTCTCGCTGCGGGATTGTGGGTAATCGTCTCCCATGCTCGGTCGCAGTCGGCGTGCCTCACTCGTATAGTCAACATCCGTGCGAGCGTACACTGTTTACTACAGTGTTGTGACCACGAGTGTGTGCGTAAAACATTTATTTTATTTTGTGTCCAAGTGTAGTGACTGTTCTTTAGTAACTGTACTGCAAGTAAAAGTCGTCCTGCACAATAACCCCCCTCCTCATCTCTTCTCTCTCGTCTCCCTCACACCAGCCACGATTCAATTTAATTAATTAATTTGATTACTTTATATTAAACTTAAATAATAAAAATATAAAAAGGTAGTTTGTATTAATCAGTTTTATATGAATACAGTATTTTTGGGTTGTGGAACCAATCATCTGAGTTTCCATTATTTCTTATGGGGAAATTCGCTTTGATGTACGAGTGCTTAGGATTACAAACACGTTTCTGGAACGAATTATGCTCACAATCCAAGGTTTTACTGTATAATCGACACAATTACACAGCAATCAGCTGATAATGTATTTAACAAAACACTTCCCAAATTAACAAATTTGCTAGACTGACTAACAAACTCTCAACTAAAAATTTATATTTTATAAACAAAACGGTTATCAACATGACTAACGTTGAATTATCCAGCAATATGGTTTCAGTCCTGTCTAAAGGTCTTAACTTTGCCGTTGCCCCACGTACAATCCCTGTCGATAAGATCATTGCTGAAGTTGAAATCAGCAGTTAGACATCTCCCCCATAATCAAGCTGAGATGACTAGGCATGAGGATGCCAAAATTAATGAGAACAGAAAATTGCCAAAAGCAAATATTAACTTCAGTGAAGCAAAAGCCTTAAGAGAATTGAGAGAAAATAAAGATATCCAAATTCTTGCTGCTGATAAGGGCCGATCAACTGTTGTGATGCCCCGTGAGGACAATGATAATAAAATCAAAGATTTACTC